AACTCAGTTCTCAGCACAGAAATGCTGGAAATCCTCAGCCTACATTCCACTTAGGGTCTTGCTCCCATGTGCAGATCTCCCACTGGGGGTAGGTGGATAGGAGATCAGCCAAGTTTGTTTTAAACTAGCTGAGTGTCAAGGATCATAGAGTTTACTCTAGAGGTGGCCAGTTTATGGATAAAACTATTTACTGTAGTGATTACGCTTTGTAATCCCTAGGAAACAGAAACTCATAGGCAGGACCCATTATTGAGAAGGATGCCTGCCAGACTTTCACATAATCTCAATGAACCTTGTGCATTAATGAAATCAAAAGATGGAGTTTGTTTCAATTCCCTAAGGTCTCCATAGCAAGTGATCTCTACTGGCAAATCAAAATGAACAGAAATTCATTCTCATACAACTTTGGAAACTAGAGACCTGAAATCAATGACTCCTTCTGGAAGCTCCCAGAAGAATCATTCACGACGTTCTCCTTCTTGCTTCAGGAAGCCTCTAGCAAGCTTTAATGTTTCTTTCTTGATCTACAGCTACAAAACTTCAAACTCTTTAAGTATGTGGCATTTCCCTCTGTGCCTATGTCTAAGTGTATCTCTAATTGACAGTCAACAGTTACAGGGTTAAAATACAGTTCCAGTGTAATATGAGCTTTTCATTTAATTGCTTCTACAAAGACCCCCTTTCCTAATAAGGTGATACTCATCGAAATCCAGGATTTGGACTTCAACACATCTTTTGAGGGGACTCAATGTAAACCACAGGAATATAAAATGTGACAAAATTCCAGGTAGAAGAAAAACAAAATCCCAAGTCCCAGACATGAAACCCTCTGGCCATCTGTCTGCCCCACTGGGTTACTTTCACTCTCTGAGTCTTGGTTTCTCTCTCTGCAAGCAATGCTTGCCCTACTTACTTCAGAAACACCCCAGGAATAAAACAAAGTCATAGAGTATTTCCTATTGGAAAGTGTTTCTACAAGTGCAAGGGATTAGTACGAACTCGTTCCAGATTGTGTTGACTTTCCCTTAACTTCATAACTACTTAATAAGTGGATAATGGAATGAGAAACACAGCCTGACTTACAGGGAAGAGAATTTAAATTACATGCCTCCCTTCATTTGGGTTTGAGATAAAGTTATAACAGAAATCTGCAGATAAGGAGAGTAATATTACAAACGCTTGTGCAGAGCTTTTTATTCACTCCCAAGAAGGGTGTTATTCAAATTCAGCTAAAAGGTGGCAAGCACTGAAAGCAAAGCAAGAAGGATGATCTCAACGGTGACATCAGCAGCTGTCTTGTTTTCTGTGTGGTCCATATTACTAGATATGATGACAATGTCCTGCTGGTTTTGCTTTTGTTTTGCAGTGTTGGGTATCAAGCCCAGTCTCTCATGTGTTGGGCAAGCATTCTACTACTGAGCTACACCTCACTTCCAAAGCTCACATAGCTGCCTAGTCCAAAGACTTTTCTGGATATAGGGACAGAGACCACCAACTTAGAAAATTAGCCCAAAATGACTGCTCACCCCTGAAGCATGAGATATACATAAAACAAAACCATTGTGTGAGAGATTTGGAGCTCCAGCAGCTCTAAGAAATCTGTTTTTAAATTTCAAAAGGAAAGATGACCACTCTTGGAAATATCAAGAGAGGGAAGGTATTATTGGGGTAACACCTTGAGAACTATAGCTATGTCCAAAACAACATGTGATCTACTTGCTTTCATTGACCTTAGATTGTGGGGGTTTGATGACCTAGGAGAAATCCCATAAGGAAAAAATAGCATGAGCCAAAGAGCCTTTCTCAATTAGCCAAACAAACTGATCCCTCCCTCTCTCAGTGCTGGGCATGTATGTCTCCAAGGCACTCTCATATACCTTCAAAAACACACCAAATCACACACCACTTAATAAACAAAACTTTATTTTCCCTTAATACAAAAATTAAATAGCAAGTTTTTTTAATACAATGATAAATTAGAAATTTACAATACAGACATCAATGCAGACACACTTTTGTACATCCTTAAAAGGTCAGTCTATTTCCTTGGAAATTCAGCAACTGATTCAGGGCAGGTATAGCAGGGGTTTTCCTGGTACCTCTCCATTATCACCTGAATGGCTCCAGGTTGCCTCCAGGCTTCTGGAGCTAATGAGAGGCATCAGGTTCCAAGAAAAAGGTAGAGAGCAACTAGATAAACTGCTGCACAAAATAGCTCGAACTGTATTTTATCTCCCTGTAGACTGGGATTGCTATTTTAGTTCATCTTTCTTATGAAGAGCCAAGGGGTCTCATCCTGAGGCCTTCTATAGCCTCACAACATCTCTGTGAGGTAGAAGAAACTCAGAAGTGTGTGGATGTCCCACTATGGAAGCTCTAGAAACCAACTTATCTCACTCTACAGCCACAGTGAAAACAAGGCCTTGGCCTGTTAAGTTCTCTGGATTTTGAAATGTGCATATCTTGGGAGGGGAGACAGACCTAGCCTTTGTAGGGCAGAGCTGTTGTCACCCCCTTTCTGCTTTCTGGGATGACACTGTCATAAGCCAAACATGAACATTCTGAGAGATCCAGGAGGCACAAGTGCTGTGAGGATGTGGCTCATTTGGAATTCCAAACAGACTCTTTACCAGCTGCTTGGGTGACTATAAGGAATTGACCGCTGCATAGAAGGGAAATAATGCAAATGAAAGAAAAAGACAAGTGACGATGACGGCGACGATGATGAGGGCAAATGTGATTTCTAGGGGAAGAAACATGTCGGGGTGGGGTGGGGCCATGATATACTTCCTCTTGGTACTGTGCCATTATTGTACAGACTACATGGCAAAAGGCAGGAAAAGAGCACTCTATCCAGGAGCCAGTGGAACCAGATCTATCACTTGGGGCTTCAGTATCTGATCATTTGTAGGAGCAAAATGCTCTCTCAGGAGTTCCAAAATCTTTGACCTAAGCATGAAGGGAAAAGGATAACCTGGGTCTTTTGACAGACATACTGCAAATTCAGACAACGACTCTGAAGTCAAATACAATAAGAAGACAAAGAGCATCGCCCAAGACCGGAGGTTCATCATGACTGGCAGGGATAGCAACTCTCTCCATTGCTCTCTGTCTCAGGATGGAATTTACACATTAAGCACTTCCTGTCAAAGTCTGTGCACTCTTGGTTTCCCTTCCTAACTGTCACACACAGGTGAGACCTTTTTCAATTGTGCCTGCTCTTTGAAATTGAATTGAATTGTGCCTGCTCAACTTCATCATGGTGTTCCATAGCACAGCTTTGAACTCAATACCTAAGACAATAACTTCTGTGAGGGAAGAGCTGAGTACACAGCTGGAAGTATTAAATAGAACCACAGATCAGAACCTGATAACGATATGTCTCTGGTTCTGGCTTTAGGGATACAAGAGTTAGGGGTCCAAGTAAGGGAGTGACAGAAAGGGAATTCTCAGGAAATAGTGTCACCTGTCCTTTGTTTCAGGCCTCTGGGCAACACGCCAGCTCAGAAGCCATCTCAGCAACCAGGAAATGGGTCACCGTAAAGGAAGAAAGATATGATCGGCTGAGTAGCTCAGCCAGGTGGTTCTGGCCACTTCTGCCCTACACAGCGCTCCTCTGCCTTATGGCTTGGCTGTTATGAAGCAAGACCAAGGAGTTTATCAAAGAGGAGGTTGGACAGAGGCATCCTTAGTTGTGCTTAGTAGAATATCTGGAACTTGAGGACTTTCCTTGAAAATTACAATCACATGTACTTACTCCAGATCTCAGAGGAAGGAAAACAAACCTCACTTTCCCCTCAGCATGTTATTGTCCTCAAATATGCCAGTGTAAGTCCCATGGAACAACCCAAACCCTGGTCCTGCCATCTTCAAAGCCACAGTACATGCTGGAGTCAGTCCTTGGGGCCTACTCTGTTTTCCTAGGGAGTGTATATGGAGATTGTCATGAACCAAAGCTGGGGCTTTCTGTCATTAATTTAGAAGGAATCATGGGACAGGTAGGGAGACCTAGGAAGAGATTTGTGGGAATGATGCGAAGGAATGATACAGATGCTTGACAGGCATTCGTAAGGGACTCCTCAGCCACCAAGTTCGTTTCCCAGAAACTGGAATCATTCTCCCCCATCTGCAATAGGAAAGGGAAGACTGGACAACTCTGTGGTGTTGCTAAGACTATTAAACCAGTCTGAACTGCCAGGCCCCTTTGCTCAAACATAACTTCCCCTGAAAAGGCAAATTGCCTGAGAAGACAGAAAAATTGTCAGTACACTTGCTCTAGAATTCAGAATGCAGGTGGCCAGTTTCACCCAAAGGGTTGTTGTTGTCATGGTTATTGTTGACATATGCTCAGCACCTACTGCTTGCTCTTTGGAGGATACAGTCTTGGTCCTACAATCACTGAAGCATTCCAAAGAGAACTGCATTACAAAGCCTGCACAGCAAAGCTAGTCAGCTACTGCCTTGCTCTTCATCCCTTTCCTGTGCCAGAGTCACTGAAAACTCCCAAGACACCGAAGCAGATCGTGAGTAAGGGCAGAATCTGCCCTGGGGTGCACACTCCAGGGCCCTGGACAGCTATGGGAACCATCTGCAAGCAGCGCAGGGCATGTCCATTTCGTCATTCATAAGCAGCTCATTCAGGAGTTAAATTGGACCTTCCATGGATCAGTTCTCATGCTCCTGGAGCCTTACACCCTAGTCCAGTCCAGGTACTCAGGCTGTGTAAATCACCAGGGGTCACCCAGGCCCACAGCGGTCTCGATCTCACCAGCCCCAAGACTCTCCTTTCCAAACACACAATGGGCCTTATATGCATCTTGATATCAGACATCTACAGAACTTGCAAAAACAAAGGGTGTGGGAAAATATAGTCAGAAACAAAGCTCAAACAGAGAGAGAGAGAGAGAGAGAGAGAGAGAGAGAGAGAGAGAGAGAGAGAGA